TCTGGGAAGGTCTCTCTGAAGATGAGGTATTTAAGAATTAAAGAATCACCAGCCTTAGCTACATAAAGGTTCAGGTAGAGGGAACAGCATAAGGAATAGCTACCTGCATATCATAACTTTTCTGGGTCATGATTTCTTTATTAGTAAAGTCACAGTGTTGGTCTAGATAAACATCATGTTTTAATTCTAGTTTCTCTATTAGTCAATGCTTCTAGCTACTTGGATTATATAGTATAATGACTGAAAAATTCAATTGCGCAAGAAGAATTTATAATTCTTTCAATGAAAAATATTGTTCTCCAACAGCAAAGAATTGGAAGAACCTTTAAAGACTTCCTCCAGTTACTATAATGAAACTAAATTTTAGCTATGGAAATTCAATAAAAGTGACTAAGGATTAAGAAGTGAATGTACTCCAAAAGCCCTTATAAAAAGATAGGTGGTAGAAGGGAGCTTAATACAGAAAGGAAAAAAAGTGGTAAGGGGAAAATAGCACCAAAATTTTGGAAGCAGAAACCAACAAGTAAGTATTTAACTGACTTAAAGAGCTGAAAAGGCTGTATCCTAAGTAAAAAATGATAAAAATCAAAAAGTACTTTCATTCATTCTGTAGAATTCCTAGAGGCTCAGATATTTTGCAACACAATCCAAGGAAGGAGCTTAAAAAAGAAAACTTGCTTGAAAACTGGATAAGAGACTAGTACACTTGAGGGTAGTAATACTGAACTAAACGGTAGAGGAATTTTTAAGATAAAGTGCTCATTCTGAGTGTTGAGACTCCTGAGCTACTCTTGCCCCCATAAAACTGTAATTCAAGTCTATACCTTCTGGCAGTAGGTAAGAAGAGCCTTCCTACGGGGACTGACTCTGAGTCGCCCGAGAGAAAGCAGACATCAAGATCACCCCCACTGCCCCCAACAGCCCAGCTGATAAAAATGCATTCAGGCGCAGAGGACTCTGAACTATCTTTTAGAATCACTCTCTGAAGCACAACTAGACAGCCAAAATTCATTAGAAACACAAGAAAAACCTTTGTTATGGGAACAACAAGAGACTAAAATTAACAGTCTAATTTG